TGATAAGGCTTTAGAAAATCGGTTCAGCATGACTGAAAGAATCGTGTGCTGTAACCCATTATTTGCAGTGAGCCATTAGAAGTAGTTTAGAAAATCGGCCTATTTCAGTAGCTTCTCGTCAAGTGGCTACAACTATTTATGTATTGAAATGTACCATTCAAGTAAAATATAATGTGGCACAACTGACAGTGGTGATGGGAAGAATTAAAATGACAGGGATTATAAAAAATGATACTGACAGTGTTATTCTAATTCTTTCTGTCAATAATGTCAATTTTTACACATTATGATTTACCTTAATGCTACATTCCGATGCATATACGGTTATAAGCAGCTGATGAAAAACCATGAAATGTGATAAATTCAAAATTTTCTACTTCAATTGTTTTTTTCGGCTTTATTCAAATTCATAAAAGGAACCAATCGCATGATATTTCAGTGGTTGTGTCAGTACTGGTGGTGATGTGACTGATTATATTAATCTTGGCTTTATTGAATGTCAAAGGAGTTTGTGTTAATCCAGTCCATCACTCATGGCATCATGATGTTAGTTTGGCTGTAAAGGGTTGTGTTTTCAATAAACCGATTAGAGCAGCTTTGCTCTGTGCTTGTGAAAACTAGCCTCTCCGAGTTGAGGATGCTTGGCAACTCTCTGTGTTCGATCATCTTTATTTTTGAAGGATTCCTGATATACATTGGCGACATCATATTAAGAATCCAGGTCTACAATGTGTATTGCGTCATAGTGATGACAATTTATATGACGTTAACAACTGGGAACATCAATTCTGGTGGCTTTTACATGTTTTACGAATACCACCACAGCGTCCCACACATCGTGTTTTGTTAGCCAGCTCTGGGATTAGTTGGAAAAGGCGAATTGATGGCCATTTTACGATATGGTGCCTGAAAGAATGAAAGCTTTTCAGGGCTAGCGCATGTCAATTCATCATAATCGCTTGGTCCGAAAGATAGTGCAACACAGCGTCTTGAGAGTTATACTACTCGTAACTCAATAATAAGTTTCTTATTCTGAATGTATCAATTAAATGACGTCCAGTGCTTCCAGGTTTTCAATGGTGGTCTAGCTTCAACTGACTCATGATTTCAATCTGTGAAATTTCTAAAATCTCCACAAAACCCATTCTAATAAGTGGCTATAAGTAAAATAATATATTTCAAATAATCTCAGCGATTGAAATTTAACTGATTCCAACGTTTCGTCCACCTAACTTGTCTGGACTTCTCCAGGGTGATAGTGAAAGAAATATATAGCGTTTAACAATCAAATCAGGTCAAGTCTATACTGTGATAATACATTCATATACAGAGTTAAAAACTATTAAATTCAAAGATGATATCGATACCATCCATATAGAAGAGGATGAAACGATGACAAGTTTTGATATACCTTCCTTATTTATTAATGCACCTATCAACAGAGCATTGGATATTATTTATGATTGTTTAGAATCTAACTCAGATTTGAATTTACGATGTCCGTCAGATCCATCCGAAGCTATTAAGTGCTCGGAATTGTGTTTACAATCCACATTATTCACATTTCGAGGAGACCTGAACAGAAAAATAGAACGTATAACAATGGGTTCACCAGTTTCTCCGATTGTAGTGAATTTATTCATGCATACCCTACAAACCAATGCGATCACAAGATGTGCACATCTACCAAAAGTCTGGTTATGGCATGTAGAGGACATTTTTACTATCATTAAACGAAATGGTTTGGAAGAATTGCTTGATGTAAACAGCATTTCAGAGAGCATCAAGCTAACACAGGAAATAGAGTCCAGTGACCACAAACTAGCGTTTCTCGATTGTTTGATTAAACGAAGACATAATAATAAATTGAAAATAAGTGCATACAGGAAATCAACACATTCTGAAAGATAAGTAGATTGTGGTTCGGCTTATGCGCTGTGTACGAAAGTCACTCTTGTTAAAAACTTAATCAACAGAAGTATTAAGCTCGTTACAGATAAGGAAGACCACAAGTTGAATTGAATAGAGGTTTGTCTACACTTGGGGATAACATCTACCCAAACGTTTCTAAAGAAGAATATTAGAAATGAAAGAATAGCTAAACTAGAATGTATTTCGAAAGTTCACCATGGTCACCCCATACCGTAGTGACACACTGGAAGAAATCAGAAGGATTCTAAACAAGCATGATATAAGAGTGTATTTTCAGGTTAGTGACACCATAAGATGGGCATTAGTGAAGGTTTAGGATAGGTTCCCGAAGGAGGAACAACAGAATACTGTTTATGAGACTAACGGTCATGAATGTGATGCAGATTATGTGGGAGAAACTTCAAGGCAATTTAATGTAAGATCGAAGGGACACAAAAAGTGTGTGAAAAATGTTCTCGAATCCTTGGTTGATATGAAGGAATTTGAGAATATGTCAGTGATAGCGTTACATGCGTTGGAAACAGGACACGAGATCAACTTCAGAAAGGTTTTAACACTCAGAAAGAAAGATTGACAGCAGAAGCGCTGTATCTATGGGCAAATAAGAACAGCCTGAACGGAAAGGGTAATATTCAACCATCAACTACTTGGTAAATGTTCGTTAACAAGTAATTGGGTCCTTTCTTTATCCAACCTGTTTATTTCACATGCGTCGTTATTCTGACTGAAATTAATGTGGGTCAATTTAGCAATAGAATTATGCATTTAACAATTCGCATTTTACTTTCACATCGACGATTCAGAAACAATTTTTAAACCTTCAACTTGCACTTTAATATTTCCTTCATATACAAACAAATTAACACTTAGTATCAACTACTAATAATTCAATTTTACGCATACATGCACACACAATTTGTTCGGTCATTTATTTTCGCATGATTCGCCTTTAACTGACTCATGTTATCCTACTTATTAAAGTCAAGATCCAAATATGACTGGATTAGCGCTATATATTTCTTTGATTATCACTCTGAAGAAATCGAGACACGTTTTTCGGACAAAACATTGGAATTATTTGAAATTTCAATTGCAGAGATTATTTGAGACAGTGGTAAACGACTTAAAGACATGTGAACTGGCGGGTCAGCCCGTTTTAACATATGGAAGACAGAAATGAAGGCTATCAACCCTATATCCTCGGCCGACAACTGGATACCTGACAGAGATGCATCGGTAGAATAGGCATGGACTTGTAGAATTATGGTCTACATCGAAACTAGTATAGTTCTCTTAATAGATGCAATCCTAAAATTGAAGATTAGATAACATGTAACTGACTAATCTACAAGATCTGACGTGGATGTCACATCATTATTCATACAGACTTATCCGCATTGTAAAAATCATCAATATATGGTGAAAAAAGTCAACAAATATCAAAACGATATAGAAAATCTCCGGCTCTGACATAAAAGGGTGGGCAGACAAGAATCACGATGCCGAATGAGGAAACACGTAAGATCGAATCCGACTGATCTATGAGTATCCCAACAACAGTGAACAGGTTCTCCCCGCTGATGTCATGTAACTTGCCTTCACCATCTCTAAGTTGCGAAACCGATAGTAGGCTTGAGAAATTTCACCAACCTGACAATGTCGAACCTTTATCTACTGGACTATATGCGTCTTATCCACAAATATCACTGTCATCACCTGATTCTCCATGTTACAACCCGTCTATCCCTGTGTGCAGTATGCCAACGTTAAGACTGGTTGACATACAAGACACTATACCCACGTGCATCGAAAAGTCAGAACAGTCTGCCAGACAGTATGTTCTACCAAGGCCTAAATCTAAAACTTCAAAAACTAAAGAGTCTGATAGTTCATCTTATACAAACCAAAATGCTGATAGATATAGTACTAAAATCCGTCAGCTGTAAAATTCTCTAGCCCAAATTAACAGCAGACTTGAGCAACTAGCACCCGTCACACATATACGTGGCCTTGACACTGATAGAAATCTTGAGCAACTCACTAAAGCTGAGTGTATTTTGGAGTTTATGGCTGACGAAGTGACGAAGGGAGTGATGTCTTCCTTCAATGCAGTTGTGTATAACCTCCCAGACCGCACACACCTATCTAATTTAAGGGATATTTGCCTTAGAGCATGCTGTATGCCGAACGTTAACTGTGTAGATCACCAACGTGACTATCTATGTCGAAAATGATTGCAGGCCTACTCGAGTTAGACGTGAATGGTGTGACAAACTAGCTAACATCGAAGTCACACCTCATGGTCAGCACCTTACGCGGACTACCCCATTGACGTATCAAGGTACCATAGATGCTTTGAAGACTGCACAACACAGAGGACGTTATTACAGAAATATATTAGTTAAGATAGATACAAGCGAAAGTAAGACCACTGCCGCATGGGCCAGTCCGGCAACGCTCCTAGGGTATCGTCTACTGATGGGGGTTGCGAGCACTTGAAGGTCAAACTGTCGCAGAATGATTGGTGCGTCACATTGACAATTCGTGAAAATTTTCAGAAGCGGTCAAATTAAGACATTTTTAGATTTGAATTGAGTTCAGCCGCACCATGTGTAGTAACCTTCATTCTTCAAGTAACGAAGACGACGCCATCGTGTTGATGCATGATATAGGACGAATCTTCAATGATATTATGTTATCTCGAAGATTTACAAGTTGGGACAATTTTGAGACCTGTTTGAAAGAAGTACATAAGGTAATATGACTTCTGTGGTTAATAATTATTTTTTTAGTATACGCATACCAAGTACTCACAATTGATTGATCACTGGGTGGTGATCAATCTCATGCTTGTCTAGTCCTTAATAGTGCAGATCGAATGCTATCGATCACGTTGCAATGTGGCCACCAGTCTAGGTGGTTCGGATAGCTCAGTGGTAACGTCTCTGACTGTGAAGCTGGGTGACACGAGATCGAATCCGCCAGGGAGCACCAGTTCCCTCAAGATTACAGGTACACCTTGCTGACGAGTGCCAAGTAGCACGAAACCCGGGGGCAGGGTTTCCTGTTGACTACCTCCAACCACCATCTAATCTCAACGCATACTAAGTACGTTATGTCAGTATGCAAAAAGAACAGTGATGATCCAACTCTAAAGTACTTTTTCGTGAGATATGTCTGTACATATATGTCGTACATATACGTCCATATATGGACGTAAACGCAGTTCGTCAGAGTCAGATGCTTGCGTTCAGGATGTAGATGATGATAGTAATAATCATTCTTCTGAAGAGCATACAACTTCTAACTCGCCAACACAACCTAGGCAAAGGAGACGACGCCGGTCATCTACGTATGCCTTAATTCAAATGAATTTATCCTTCTGGTCGAAATATTGCAATTGTCAATCAGTATTTTCGGTCCGGGCAGTAAATGGTGAGTTGAAACTCACCTCTATTAAAATCGTGCACAACCATCCTTGCACAGAAGGATATATTTCTGTCGATCCGTCGAAACGACAGTTGACCTCAAGTGAACGCTTGTATTTAAGAACGTTTCTACTGAGTAATACACCAACTCGTAGCTTACGGTATCTGGTTTCTTGGAAGTTCAATAAACAGCTTACAAAGGACGATATCGCCAGAATGCGTTCACAGTTGTACCCAGGTTGTTGAACTCACATTGTAATTAATTGAGTTTAGACACTAAAAATATCAATGACATTTTACAGCGCGTTCAAGCAAATACTGAAGTTAAAGTATTCAATGAAAATGGGAACATGTCTATGATTTGCTTCAGCCGCAGAGAGCAAATAGCTGTTTACCACGCGTTCCCGGAGGTAATATGTATTGATTCGACTTATCAGACTAATAAAGTCGGGTAAGTAACGATTAGTAATAAATTTATATGAAAGTTTTCCACTGTTCCAGCTAGTGGTGACTGATGGTCTTGGGCAAGGGCACACTGTTATGTATGCTCTTTGCAGTCAAGAACGACGCGAAGATGTCGAAAAACTATTGGAATGTTTTAAAGAGATAATGTGCGGTACTTATGCTACACACACTTTCATTATGGATTCGGCAGCGACCGAAATTTTGGCTGTGCAGTCTACGCACAGTCATTCTAACATAATACTTTGTTCATTCCATGTCCTGAGAGCGTTTTTCAGGAAGGTATGTGTTAGCTGTACAAACTATTTTCTGTAGTTCCGAAATCCTGATGTGCGCAAATGCTTGGAACACCTTGTGAAGACTAGACAGTCTGATATGTGAGCTTCGCTTTTCATAACGCATTATATTCAGATTTACTCGAAAGTACGAACATCTAAGGACGCATTTCCCACGGGCGTATGATTACATAAAAGATTACTGGATTGCCAGGAAGTCAATGTGGGCTCGCTGTTACCGGCGACATATATTAAGCCCGGGCAACCACACAAACAACCGTGTCGAAAGTGCTCATAAACACCTAAAAGAATGTCTCAGAAGAGGTGATTCCCTGCTATTGACTTTTTGGAAAATTTGGAGTAAAACAGACATCGACCTACGTTTGCGCCCTTATGATGCTCTGAAGGATCTTCAACGTTTTCCAATTCTTCAGGTAAGAAATATAGTTAAATGTATCATTAATTCCAGGTTCCAATGTCATTTCGAACTCTTCTAAATGAGTTTGTAACAGCTTAGGTTGGTTGGTTTAGAGTTGACCCCAAACAACCAAGCATATGCCAAGACAGTATTGTTCAAGTATTCATTCACTTCCTTATTTTGTATAAGCGTTATATTCCCTAATATCTTATATTGAATGTTGAGAGCCTTTGTTTGTCTGAACAGATAATCCCACGCTCCACTGTGACTGCGCAAAGATCGAAATAAAGACCTATTCACTACTTCTCTGGTTTCTTCTATCAATAGCACGAGGGTTACCTTAAGGCACGAAAGTGGTGAGCCCTTTTTGAACACAAATTTAACCTCATTTCTGTTATTAACATTTTTTTTACTTAATCGTAAAAGTAGACCTGATTATCCGTAAACTGAGTTGAGTATATAACTGGTTTATTCCGTATTATATTAAGTTATTCGTGTTATAGTAACCACTTTTTGTGCTAACTTTATTGCTATATTTGTCACATAGCTCATGTCAGACTCGATACAAACCCAAAAGCTGGGGGATTTGTCACCAGTGGAGATAGACACTCATGACTACGAAATCCCGACTTCCAGAATTTGATCGTAATGATCCTGAGTTGTGGTTTGCTCAACTAGAGCATTATTTCGCGAGACACAATATCAAATCTGAAGGGATTCGCTATCGAGACTTGTGTTCTATCCTTCCTCCTTCAGTCGCCAAAGAAGTCCGTGACTTGATTTTAGATCCACCATCACCACAACCATACACCATCTTAAGACGAGAGATAATGAACCGTTTATCATTATCAGATAGTCAAAGAATTCAAAGACTTTTTCAAGGTGAAACACTAGGTGATCGGTCGCCGTCACAGTTTTTACGTCACCTCCAAGTCTTAGTGGGTGATAACACAGTGGGTGAAGCAGTCCTAAAACAAGGATGGATACAAGCTCTCCCATGCTACGTCCAACACTGTTTGGATGCACAAGATCCTGAAACCTCATTATCTCATTTAGCGCGTATAGCCGACAGAATAATGGAAAGAGGTCCTCCAACTGGATCAGGCATAATAAATCACACACAAAAAGTAGAATCAGCAAAAGACCCCGTCATAGAAGGACTCATTGCGAGTGTTAAGAGTCTCACTGAGGCTGTCACCAGAATGCAAATGGGTCATAGAAACAGGAGCAGGTCACCACAACGACCACGATCCAAGTCACAAAACAGGTCACAAATGTCCAGACAATCTGGGCAGTTTTGTTGGTACCACTGGACGTTTGGTGTCAACTCAACCAAGTGCATGCAACCATGCGCCTGGCCTAAGCATAATTCTAAGACAGCGGGGAACGAGTAACCCCTCCCCAGGTCGCGACGACTGAGGAGGGGCGCCTAAACAGTCGCTTGTTTTATGTTAGAGACAGAAACTCTGGCTTGAATTTCTCGGTGGATACTGGCGCTGCTCTTAGCATCATCCCTCAAAATAAAACTGAGATTAGTCGAGAAACATCATCAATTACACTTCAAGCTGCAAATAAAACTAAAATTGCGACATTTGGGCAGAAAACTTTAACCCTAGATTTGGGGTTCAGGAGGCAATTCCCTTGGGTTTTCACGGTAGCCGACTTAGATCTGGCAATACTGGGGATGGACTTTCTAGAGAGATACGAATTTCTAGTTGACACCAAGAAACGGCGATTAACACTAAAAGAAACTTCGTATTACACAAAAGGCAAAGAAAGTCACATCAGCTCTCTTAACTTGATTCAAACCCCTCCAGTAACAACAGCGAAATTCCAAGATATACTCGCGGAATTTCCAAACTTAACTAAACCAAACCCACAGCCTTCCAAAGACAAACTAAAAGTGAGTCACACTATCAAAACCGAAGGTGCACCGGTGTTTGCAAAACCCAGGAGACTAGCACCAGATAAGCTCAAAATCGCTAGGGCCGAGTTTGATTATATGCTACAACTGGGTATTATCCGTCCCTCTGATAGTCAATGGGCATCCCCTTTGCATATGGTCCCAAAGAAGAATGAAGGTGACTGGCGACCGTGCGGGGATTACAGAGCCCTAAACCGTCAAACCGTACCAGATAGGTACCCAATACCTCATATCCAAGATTTCACCAACGGTTTACAGGGTATGAACATATTCACTAAAATTGACTTAGTCAGGGCATATCACAATATCCCGGTGGCTGATGAAGATATTCCCAAGACAGCTATTACTACACCCTTTGGCTTATTCGAGTTTGTACGCATGCCATTCGGCCTGAGAAATGCGGCACAGACATTTCAAAGATTCATAGATAACCTACTTCGAGATATGCCATTTGCGCAGGGGTATATAGACGACTTGTTAATTGCCAGCCCCGATTTGCAATCACACGAACAGCATGTACAAGCAGTGTTGAAAAGACTGGATGAACATGGAATAAACATACATCAAAGTAAGTGTGTTTTCGGTGTTCAAACTTTAGAATTTCTCGGTCACACAATAAGCCCAGAAGGGATTAAACCTATCAAAAAAGAAGTGGATACCATCAAACAATACCCCGTACCTAGTTCTCTAACACAACTGAGAAGTTTTCTAGGCCTAATTAACTTCTATCGCAGATTCATACCAGGTTGTGCACAATTAATGCAACCTTTGACAGATTCACTTAAAGGAAAACCAAAAGAATTCAAACTGTCTTCTGACGCCATCGAAGCTATTAAACAGCTTAAAGATAAACTGGCTCAAGCAACTACGTTGATATATCCGAATTCTCTTTCCCCACTTGCTTTGATGGTGGATGCTTCAGATAAAGCAGTAGGCGGTACCCTTAACCAACTGGTTAAAAACGCCTGGAAACCAATTGCTTTCTTCTCGAAAAGACTCGCTCCAGCCGAAACAAGGTATTCTACCTTCGGGCGAGAACTTCTTGCAATCTACCTGACCATTAAACACTTCCGACACATGTTAGAAGGTAGGGAATTTATAGTCTTTACGGATCATAAACCACTGACGAATGCATTGAAAGCGAGAGCCGATAAATACTCACCTCGAGAAGTCCGACACCTTGACTATATATCACAGTTCACAAGCGATATCCGACATGTCAAAGGTCAGGACAATCAGGCGGCAGATGCTTTATCCAGACTAGAAATGAACGTGCTACAGCAGTCTACAGTAAACTTCGAGACGTTAAGACACGAACAAGAGCAGGACCTAGAATTGCAAAACCTACTTAAAACAAACAATTCAAGTCTTAATTTAAAACAATTCCCATCACCTATCGATGGTATTCTAATTTATTGTGACACGACCAAGGCAATGCCGCGACCTTTCGTTCCCAAAAATATGCGAAAGTTGATATATAATAACTTTCATTCTTTGTCTCATCCTGGCGCGAAAGCTTCAACAAAACTAATCAATGCCAGATATATATGGCCGAATTTACAGAAGGATGTACACAAATGGGTTAGAGAGTGTTCAGCATGTCAACAATCAAAGATTAATCGTCACACAAATTCACCCATAGGTGTTTTCTCGCAACCAGATGCACGTTTTGCCCATGTGCATATCGACTTGGTAGGTCCTTTACCTCGTTCAAACGGTTTTAATTATCTTTTTACATGCATAGATCGATTTACCAGATTCCCTATAGCCATCCCGATAGCGGACATCACAGCGGAAACAGTAGCCAAAGTTTTCATGCAGAACTGGGTAACCATTTTTGGTACACCCATAACAATAACGACGGATAGAGGAGCGCAATTCGAATCCGAACTATTTAATAACTTGGCTAAACTTCTAGGCTCCAATAGGATACGCTGCACTGCATATCATCCTCAGGCTAATGGGATGGTAGAACGTTTTCACCGTCAGCTAAAAACCGCCCTTATATCTCACTCAAACCCCAATCAGTGGACAGAATTCCTACCATTAGTTATGTTGGGAATACGAACATCTGTCAAAACTGACGCACAGTGTTCAGCTGCGGAACTGGTTTTCGGAACAACTCTGAGACTACCAGGTGAATTTATTAACCCCAATACTAACAGTCAAAAACTTAATTTAGGAAACTACGTAGATCAACTACGGGACCACATGTCCAAACTTAAGCCAATTAATACTCGCGAACAATCGCGTGCCGTATATGTACCTAAAGACCTAAGCAATTGCACGCACGTCTGGATAAGATGTGACAAAATAAAAGCACCACTTAGCCCTCCATTTGAAGGTCCTTTCAAAGTCGTCTCAAGAAAATCTAAATATTTCGTGATAGAAAAACATGGAAACATCGACACAGTAAGTATTGA